AATCATCACAAACCAATGGTAGCTTAAAGGTGTTCAGGAGCAAAACGAGCTCTCAAAATATTTCCTTTAGTGATTTGTTTCAAACTGGGAATCACGTAATAGTTCTTGATTGGGAAATTATCATAAACCAATGTTAGCTATGTTAGCAATGTTAACCTATGATCTGTTCGAACTGCCATAAACAAACTCAAAATAATTTAGGTTGAATTGTGTAATCTTACATGGTTGCGTAATTGTCATGGACCAATGCTAGCTCAAATGTGTTTAGGAACAAAACAAGCTTCTCAAAAGTTTATTTTAGTGATCTTTTTGTAACTGCAGAAAAAGAAATCATAATAATAAAATCATCTAAATAATTTTGTTCGAAATGCGTAAACATTCGCAAATGATTATTATTATTATTTTGTTAGAAATGTACAATTGTTAACAATTGCGTGATCATCACAGACCAATTGTAGATCAAAGGTGTTTAGGACCGAAATGAGAACCCCCCAAAAATGTTGGCCTTGGTAATCTGTGTCGAAGTCGAACTACCGAAAATTTATTTAGAAAAAATTTTTAATGCATAATTATTTGCGATTGCATAATCGTCACTGATCAATGGTAGCTCAAAGGTGTTTAGGACCAAAACAAGCTCCTCCAAAAAGTTTGCTTTGGTGATCTGTTTCGAACTGCTCAAAAGAATTTTGTTCGAAATGTGTAATCGTTCGCAGTTGTGTAATCGCCACAGACCAATGGTAGCTCATACGTGTTTAGTGGCAGAACGAGCTCCCAAAATGTTTCCTTTAGTGATCCGTTTCAAACTGGCAAAAACAAACTCAAAAATATTTATTTGTAAATGACGTCATTTCGGTTCTTTTTCAATTTCATTCGAAGTATATCAGGACGTTTAATATATAAATCATGTAGATTATCCATTTGTTGCTCATGCAGTAATCGTAAACAAAAAGTTTAGCTCTTTATGAATTGTACATTAACTCATGATTAGTTAAGCATTAATAAATGCATATTAGCACATCCATATTGTAAAGTTCCACCATGACAACCCAGCATTTGCCACAAAAACAAGAATCAAAAGAAAATAATAGACAACAAGTAAAAGGATGAGCATGGTGCTCTATGCTATTATGTGTCCAATATGTTGGCTACAGGAGGAGGTTATTGGAGCTGGGTTTGTAATGAAATATCTCTTTACTGGCAGAAACTCAAGACTTATTGTTACAGGGCCCTGCAGCACTATGTTTATCTTTTAGTAGCTACTGCTGCACTGACCAGGCTTTTTTTTAAAGAGGTATATGCCCATTAGGTTCATGCAGTTCTATATCTATATAGCAGAAGATGTACAGTGTGAAAGTAAAATAAGGCAGACTGCATCCTCTGGAAAGTAAATCTGTAAGTTTAAGAAAAATTGATAAAGGTTTTGGATAAACATCTGCTGAATTCCAACTAGAATAAATCTAAATCTAATGAGTGTGTTCAGTCACATTGGTTAGATCATTTTAGGTTATAAATATAGGCTCACACAGAATCTGTGCCCATGGATCTATCATTGAGTTTGTTTATTTGCTCATGTAAATGTGTGTAAAAATATATATATTTATTCCGTTTTTATATTAATTTGTGTGATATTATTGAATACTTTGCAAATGTTTATGTGATTTATGTACAGTGCAGTTTGTGGGCGAAGCAGTGGCGCAGTAGGTAGTGCTGTCTCTATACAGCAAGAAGGTCGCTGGTTCGAACCTCGGCTCAGTTGGCATTTCTGAGGAGTTTGCATGTTCTCCCTGCATTTGCGAGGGTTTCCCCCACAGTCCAAAGACATGCTGCAGGTGAATTGGGTAGGCTAAATTGTCCGTAGTGTATGAGTGTATGAGGATGACAGGCCCGGACGAAAGGCCGGCCGGAATGTGTAAAAAGGCATTATCATATGGACAAGTCTAAAATGGCTTATTCCAAAGAGCCGACCCCGCAACCATACGGGACTAAGACCAAGGAAGAAGAAGAAGAGGAGTACAGTGCAGTTTGTAAAGTAGTATTTTCTGTCTTTTAGTGCAGTGGTTCTCAAACTGTGGTAGGTGTACCGCTAGTGATACGCAGAGGAATCCAATATGTCATATGTACATGCAACATATATTTTCAAAATGTATATAAAAAAATAGTTTCTATATGAATATGATGACATATAGCCTATATTTATGAGGTCCAAGCAATACTTCCAGGTTTTGATGAATAGGATACTATAGGTAACACCTACATTTAAGTACAGGTTTTTTTTTTTCTTTTTAAGAACAGTAGCCTACCATTTTTAACTAACTTTTAAAAGCACATTAATTTAAACGTTGACATTTTATTTTGTTTGTTCGTTTTACAGGGCGAGGCAGTGGCGCAGTAGGTAGTGCTGTCGCCTCACAGCAAGAAGGTCGCTGGGTCGCTGGCTCGAACCTCGGCTCAGTTGGCGTTTCTGTGTGGAGTTTGCATGTTCCCCCTGCCTTCGCGTGGATTTCCTCCGAGTGCTCTGGTTTCCCCCACAGTCCAAAGACATGTGGTACAGGTGAATTGGGTAGGCTAAATTGTCCGTAGTGTATGCATGTGTGTGTGGATGTGTCCCAGAGATGGGTTGCGACTTGAAGGGCATCCGCTGCGTAAAAAAACTTGCTGGATAAGTTGGCGGTTCATTCTGCTATGGCGACCCAGGATTAATAAAGGGACTAAGCCGACAAGAAAATGAATGAATGTTTGTTTTACAGTACAGTACAGTGTTAGCAATCAAACTATTGATAATGTTTAAAGTGGCTGATAGTAATAAATATTATTAATAATAGTAATTAATCTGCCACATTGTTAAACTGAATGAAGCAGAATGAACCGGCCCTAATGTTCATGTGATCATAATTATCATTAAATGATATTATTGGCATAACTGCAATCATAAAAGCTCTTGCATCGTAATAGTCAACCATTTCTGGGATAAAATTGTAACTTTTTTGGAACCACGATACAATTAAACGTTGTTGTTCTTTGGTGTGACACTCCTATTTATTAAAAATGTCCAACAAGTGCTAGTGTGTGTACCCTGATAGAAACCTATGCTAAGAATTCTAAAAATGCATGGCACTGATTGGCGCAACGCAGAGCGTCACCAAGTGGCGCTTCTGGTGTGCAACCACCTTTAGTGTCCCACCAGTGATGATATACAGCCATATCGCACTGCTACGAGTGTGAAATTGTGTTTATACAACAGTTTGACGGCATAATCGTGTATATAAAAACGAAAATTAAACACGGAGAGTCTAAAAACCCTTTTGTACGCTCTTCCGCAATTCATTCACATCTGCAGCTGACGTCAGAACAGCAGAAACTGCTGCTACTTCACCAGCGTCACTTTAGAGCTAGTGTTTGAATGATTCTCTAGCGTAATGTCTACAGTGAAGACAAAACAGATGATTTTGCTCACATTTTAAGATTATAAGGCTGAATGGCATGAAATGCCATCAGTCTACAGACATTTCCCAGTATTTCTCTGTTGCATTTGGGAAATCGGAATAATTAACCATGTAAAAAGCCAAAGTAGCGCAAACACTACCAGATTACTGTTGTGTTTGTGATAAGGAAAAACGCTAAACACATGCGGGCATTTCTTTATTCTTTCTTTTTACTGAGCTAGTCTGCAGTAACAAAAACAGGAGACACATTAAAAACAAACAGATGACCAACCAAAAAGTAACTTAGGGTTATACAAGGAGTGGCCAACACAAAATACATACATTCCTGATATGCGAGTTCCAGCTCACACTCAATACACTACAATTACTATGGAATAAATACAGCACTGAAACATAAAAAAGAGAGAAATCGACTTAGAGTGTCACTTACCGGTTTAATAATGATTTGATCAGCTGTAGTTATTATGTAGTCTCTGTCGCCATCTTGTGGATGGACAACGTCAACTGTTTTTGCTATGCTCAATGACGACGAATGGATGCGAACGGAAATGATAAATATTTAAAATAGGCACTGTCCTTATAAATAAATTTAAAAAACTACATTCTCGCCTAAAAACAGCTGCAAAATGTAAAACTGTAGTGAGTTTATTGATCTGCTGTCACTCTATGTGGGCAGAGTAATACAGGGTAACTAGGCTGTAGGAGTTCTGATATTGCAGAATATCACACGGCTATCAGCCAATCAGATTCGACACCCAGACAGAGCTGTTAAGTAAAATGTAACATAATATAATATAATACAATAAAATATAATATAATATAATATAATGTACTTTTTCAAATATTGTAACTTTTTGGAACCACAATAAAATTAAATGTTGTTGTTTTTGGTGTAACACTTTTATTTATTAAAAATGTCCAACAAGTTATGGTAAATATTAGTGCTATATGAAGAAAAGTGTCCAACAGTTAACATAAATCACTCTTACAGTGTTTGTATATTATTAAAGGTTGTTTTTCTTACTTAGTGCTTGGACATTTCACGGTACAGTTCAGTGAAAAGTACAGAAAAATAAAAATATAAACTATTTGTGTAATATTAAGGGTTGTTTGTCTTACTTTTTGCTGTTACACCAACATTTTTACTTTACAGTTCAGTAAAAAGTTTTTAAAAATATCATATAAAATAATAATAACAAACAGGTAATGAACTGATGGTTTTTTCAAACAATACACTTCAAACTACATATTTTTTTACCAAAAAAAAAATAAAAATAAAAACATTGTACTGCCTATTTGTCAAGTAATATTCCAAAATCTATACACAACTGCCAACCTACAGTGGCACACTCACTCCATCACACACCATCATACTATATGTAAACAAGAACGTTCCCATGGTGTCCCAAAACGTTGTGTACGTTTTGAGACACGTCCAAAACAAACGTTATTCGATCCCAAAACAAACAAACAAACATCCAGTTATGCACACAGAGGACGAGGTCTAGCTTGAAGTCTACTTTAAACAGTGCAGCATCAGTGAAAACAGGCACTCACCCTCAGTGTGGCAGCTGGACGACAGGAGGCTGCTGGGCGGTCTGAAGATGTAAGGCAGGTACCGGGAGAAGCATTTCATCTTTTAGACTGGATTTTAGTACGCGTAGCACTTCATACTGTCCTCCTGCGGCTCACGGACACATGAAGGAGCGGAAAATGCGATGGCACAATCTCCGGTTCATTATATCGGCGGTGTTCCTCTGGAGGGATGACATCTGTGCTGCTCCAGCTGACCAGGCTTCTCCTCGCCCCCGTCGCCTGCTGGAGGACGGCTTGTTTTGCCCCAGTCTGGGAGGTGGGAGGGAGGGGTGTTTGCCGGAGCCGCTCCTGCGTCTGTCCGCCTACTGGCCGGCTTCGAATTTACCGCGGCATCTGCTGGAAAAAGTCGGAAAACTGTTGGACTAAATGAGGTCAAGTCTACAACTGTATGTATGCCCTATATTTAGCATACGTGTTTGTATGCACCGATGAACTAGAAGCTGACCTATTTAAAGCGATAGCTCACTTCAAAATGTGGGCATTTAGGCTACCTGAGGTAAAGGTGGCCTTATATTCACACATTAGGACTTTGTCCTTAATAATATAAGTTTAGAAAAGTATTATTTGCAAATTCTAAATAGTGGAATTATATTAGCAGCCAATGGCTTTAAAGTACAACATTGTTCGCAGTCAAATAAATAGTGCTAATGTTGTTTTTGAATCATACCTACATGAGCTTAAAGACCAAAATATTCAAAGTTGGCTACCATTGTAAACAATATAGAGACCATGTCGCATTGTCACTGATTTGAATGTGCAAATTCACTCACCGGCCTCTTTATTAGGTACACCGTACTAGTACCGGGTTGGACCCCTTTTTGCATTCAGAACTGCCTTATCTTTCGTGGCATAGATTCATCAAGGTAATGGAAATATTCCTCAGAGATTTTGGTCTATATTAACATGATAGCATCACGCAGTTGCTGCAGATTTGTCCATGATGTGAATCTCCCATTCCACCACATGCCAAAGGTGCTCTATTGGATTGAGATCTGGTGACTTTGGAGGCCATTTGAGTACAGTGAACTCATTGTCATGTTCAAGAAACCAGTCTGAGATGATTTGTGCTTTATAACATGGCGCATTATCCTGCTGGAAGTCGCCATCAGAAGATGGGTACACTTTGGTCATAAAGGGATGGACATGGTCAGCAACAATACTCTGGTTGGCTGTGGCGTTGACACGATGCTCAACTAGTACTAATGGGCCCAAAGTGTGCAAGTTTGTGGTTGTCGAATATATAACCCTAACCCTAGTAAGTAGCGTTTCTGTTACAGGTAAACATTTCCACAAAACACATCTGTATGTACATTTTGCTCATTACTAATACTAAACACTGTTCACCATAGAACATAGTGTGACCCATTTGAAGGATGTGTCATATGTGGGTTACCAGTACCATGAATTTTTTAACTGCCCAAAATCTCTAAATTATTTACATATTTATCCAGCAGCATACTTCAAAGCACAGTCTGACTGGAGGGAAGATAAAGTCACTTTTAACTTTAATTATGTTATTATTGCTTATCATAAAAAGAGTGAACATCAAGTCGAAGCTGTTTTTTACTATAGTCATTTGTGCTGGGTAATATATCGAAAAACTATCGTTATCGTGATAATAGTATATGCGATATCTATATCACAGTGAAGTGCAATCAATTTAATTAGTTTTATGTGTAAAGCATTTATGTGCTGTTTGCATAGGTTGTTTATCCAAATCCGACCAATCAGACAAGACTATCTTCATACCCAACAGGTAGGTGCTGTTGTGAACAAAAGAGCTGAAACACTCATTCATTCATTCATTTTCTTTTCGGCTTAGTCCCTTTATTAATCTGGGGTCACCACAACGGAATGAACCACTAACTAATTCAGCACATTTTATGTATCAGATGCCCTTCCAGCTGTAATCCATCACCTGGAAACATCCACACACACACACACACACACACACACACACACACACACACACACTACGGTCAATTTTGGCATATATAGTGCATGTCTTTGGACTTGTGGGGGAAACCGGAGCACCCGAAGGAAAGCCCCACGAACACGGGGAGAACATGCAAACTCCACACGGAAATGCCAACTGACCCAATCAAGGCTCGAACCAGCGATCTTCTTGCTGTGAGGTGAATGTGCGACCCACTGCGCCACAGCAACGCCCCAGAGCTGAAACAAAAAATTTTTTAAAAACGCGCGGTGGGTAGCATAATCACCTCACAGCAAGAAGGTTGCTGGTTCGAGCCCCGACTGGGTCGTTTGGCATTCCTGTGTGGAGTTTGCACGATTTTTTACAACTTTTTTAATCAAGCAACAAAGGTGCTTTGATGAGGTCATTGCCAGGAAGCAGCAATTCACGCTTGTGTTGTTTCCTCTTTGTGACAGAATGCATCATGTGTGAACTTAGCAACTCAAGCCGAACACTCAAAAAAAGACATCTGCTGTTTGTTCAAACTACACTGTAAAAAAAATGTGTAAATTATTTCCACAATTTATTTATGCTTTTGAATTGCATAATGGAACCTTGATCTTTCTTCCAAGAACTTCTAACCTTGAAAAGTTTTTTTAAAAATGACTTTTTCTAACATTTTTCTTTGCTTTCAGGAGCTTTGATGTGGAGGCTGAAGTATGAGGAGCGCTATCCTGCTGAAGAATTTACCCTCCCCTGTGGTTTGTAATGTAATGGGCAGCACACATATCTTGATACCTCTGGCTGTTGATGTTGCCATCCACTCTGCAGATCTCTCTGCCCCATACTGAATGTAACCCCAAACCATGATTTTTTTCCCTCACCAAACTTGACTGATTTCTGTGAGAATCTTGCCATGTGGGTTCCAGTAGGTCGTCTTTAGTATTTGTGATGATTGGGATGCAGATCAACAGGTGATTCATCAGAAAAATTTACTTTCTGCCACTTTTCCAAACGATCAACAAGAAGTCAAGTTATTATTTATTGCTGTAACAGCTGGGATCAACGACAAGACCTCTGTCAGGTAGTGTGTATGAGTTGAATTTACAACATCAAAAGTCGACAGAGCTGCGATCAAGCTCCCATAATGCAATTCACAATCGTAAATAAACGAAAAACACGTGTGAATCACAAAATATGGAAACTGTTAATTAACTTTCTTTTTTTTACAGCGTACACACTCAGAAATAAAAAAAAAAAGTTTGTACCTTTTCAAAAGGTACACATTTGTACTTGAAGGGTCCATACTGGTACCTCAAAAGTATATATTAGTATCTACAAATTTTAAGAGGAACACTTTTGTATTTTTTTAGGTACTAATATGTACCTGAAAAAGAGTTAGGAGGTAAATATTTAGGTAGGTAGTTTAAAGCCAGTGGTGCTTTGGGTAAGAACAAAGGTCCAGTCTAGTCACTCCATTTAGTTGTCCCTATTAACATGTCCACAAGGATTTGTACTCAAGAGGAAAGGTGTGTGTGTGTGTGTTTTTTTTGCTTGTTTGTTTGTGTGTTTGTGTGTGTGTGTGTGTGTGGTTTATGGTCAAATACGCACACACAGGAAGACAACAAAGGAAATCAAATTCAGTCCTCAGAACAGTTTAGCCATGTGCAGCCAGAAAGGGCAAACTGTGGGCACAGGTGCAGTTAATAAAGCCCTTGAGGCAGTCCTGATTGGCCAGAGATTGAGTGAGTGGAGACTGGAGTAAACCATAATCTGAACAGGGGTGTGACACTATGAGTTTGCAGTTTAGGAACACAAAACTTCTCAACAGGGCGATGCAGTGGCACAGTGCGTAGCACGTTCGCCTCACAGCAAGAAGGTCACTGGTTCGATCCTCAGCTCAGTTGGTGTTTCTGTGTGGAGTTTGCATGTTCTCCCTGCATTTGGGTGGGTTTCCTCCGGGTACTCCGGTGTTCAAAGACATGTGGTATACAGTAGGTGAATTGGGTAGGCTAAATTGTCCGTAGTGTGTGTGGATTTCCCAGAGATGGGTTGCAGCTGGAAGCGCATCCGCTGAGTAAAAACTTGCTGGATAAGTTGGCGGTTCATTACGCTGTGGCGACCCCGGATTAATAAAGGGACTAAGCCGACAAGAAAATGAATGAATGAATAAACTTAACAGTGCCCTTGAGGTATTAATATGGATCTTTTAGGTTAAAAAAAACAGCTCCATACCTTTATTTCCGAGAGTGTACTTGTTTAAAAAGAGCTGAAACAATACAATTCTTAAGTTTTTTGTGACAACTTAATTGTTTTATGTTCAATCTACCTACATTTGTAAAATAAATAAATGAATAAGTAAATTTAATTCGATCATGTGGCCCCAGCACAAATCATTCATGTTAAACCCAGCATTTATTACAGTGTACATTCCCGTTTTAGCTGATGTTAATAGCCAGAGGTGTTTATACAGGAGAGCATATAGCAGTGTCTGGTTTCTTTAAGCCGCTCATGTGTAATTATGTCTTCCTTTATAGCAGGGGTTTAATCAATAGCGGGTCTCGGGGTTTTGAGGAAAAGGGGCCATCTGTGCCTCTCATGGATAAGCATATGAAAAGGCTAACACTCGTGGTGCCAGCTCTTCCCCTCTGTGCCACCGCAGCATAATGAGCTGAACACACACATCGATTTTTCCACAGCACACCCACAACAGAGCCTATTAACATAACATCAGGACTCTTTTTAGATCAGATATGATGATCATTCACACCATAAACATAACCAGAGATAAAATGTTTTAGTATAATCAGTGGCGGATCTAGTGATTTTGGGGCCCTAAACAATTCCAGCCATCATTTTTATTTATGATTCATTTTCTTTTCAGCTTAGTCTCTTTATTAATCTGGGGTCGCCACAGTGGAACGAACCGCCAACTTATCCAGCATACTGTATGTTTTAAGCAGCAGATGCCTTTCCAGCTGCAACCCACCACTGGGAAACATTCATGCACACTTATTTACACATATACACTACAGCCAATGTCGCTTACCCATTTCATCTTATAACAAATGTTTTTGGACTTGTGGGGGAAACCGGAGCACCCGGAGGAAATGCACGCCCACACAGGGAGAACATGCAAACTCCACACAAAAATGCCAACTGACCCAGTCAGGGCTCGAACCAGCGACCTTCTTACTGTGAGGTGTAGTGCTATACCCACTGCGCCACCGTGCTGCTATTTCATCCTGACTTCATGAGAAAACGTAAATATTTTACGTTTTTTTAGTTTAGTGGCTATATGAATTCAGTCGTAATGAAAATATATGATTTAAAAAAGAAGGTGTGGCACCCAACCCCGCCCCTAAACCCAACTTTCATTTGGTGATGAGCAAATCGTACTAAATTGGACAAATTAAATCATACGAATTCATATGAATTACATGCGTCCGACAGATTGCACTATTATGTTTTTTTCTCTTCTTCATTCTTTTATTTCACATTTTACCTGTTTTTATGTTTTTTTACTCATTTTTATTATTTGTTTTATTTTTTATTTTACTTGTTTATTTTATTCTTGTTTATGTAAAGCACTTTGATTTGCCACTGTGTATGAAATGTGCTATATAAATAAACTTGCCTTGAATTAGCCCCTAAATCAAAAAGTTATGAATAGCCGTGAGATTGCAATGGCTATTTTTATTTATATTGCTGGTTTTTTTTTTCGACAACTTAAATTAATGCAATCTCTACATTTTAAATTAATAGTTTTCCTAAAATGAATTTACAAATAAAATAAATAAGTGTATAATTTTATTTACAGCTGGACAGCATCATGATGGATATTTTATTTTGTTATATTATTATTATTACTGGGTTGTACGTTGGGTCGGCTGAGTCAGTTGGCGTTTCTTTGTGGAGTTTGCATGTTCGCGTGGGTTTCCTCAGGGTCCAAAGACATGTGGTACAGGTGAATTGGGTAGGCTAAATTGCCCGTAGTTTGTGTGTGTGATTGAGTGTGTATGGGTGTTTCCCAGTGATGGGTTGCAGCTGGAAGGGCATCCGCTGCATAAAACATGCTGGATAAGTTGGCAGTTCATTCCACTGTGGCGACCCCTGATTAATAAAAGGACTAAGCCGAAAAGAAAATGAATAATTATTATTAAAACATACCATTACATTATTATAATAATATTATATTCGATTTTACATTAAACAATTTTTAATTACATTAAAATTGTATTGCAAAATATCTCTCACCATACAAAATACAGTATAACTACGTTATATATAGTTTATGTATGATTTATACTTCTAGATATTTATAAGGGGCCCCCAGATTTCCTGGGGCCCTAAGCGGCTGCTTACCTCGCCTATTGGGTAAATCCACCCCTGAGTATAATCCAGATGCGATTGCAGTTTTTAATAATAATTTTGAATTCATTCATTCACTTTCCTTTGGCTTAGTCCCTTTATTCATCAGCGGTCACCACAGAAGAATGAACCGCCAACTTATCCAGCATAAGCTTTACACAGAGGATGCCCTTTCAGCCACAGTGCTGGGAAACATTCACACTTTTTTTCAGTTTATTCAGTTCATCTATAGCACATGTCTTTGGACTGTGAGAGGAAAGCCCCGCCAACTCGGGGGGGAACATGCAAACTCCACACAGAAATGCCAACTGACCCAGCCGAGACTCAAACCAACAATCTTCTTCCTGTGAGGCGACAATGCTAACCACTGAACCACTGTGCCGCCAGCAAGAACATAGCACATTATAATAACAGCAACACGCCATATAAAAAAATACCATTGTAATTTTACAAGAGTTCACACTTAGCTGTTGATTTATTATAAAGCTTGTCTGGCTCCTTCCTGTTTGCAAGGTGAGAGGGGAGTTTGAGCTCAGGTAGATCTGGAGAACGGCCCTGCTGTAGTAGCTAACAGATAGTGATTGCTCTTAAGAGATAGCTACTTACGTAGCATGTCTATGGTGCACATTTGGATTAGCAAAATCAACTTAATCTGTTGTGGTAATTCGACAGTTGCTATGGTAACAACTTCATTCATTCATTCATTTTCACGTCGGCTTAGTCCCTTTATTAATCCGGGGTCGCCACAGCGGAATGAACCGCCAACTTATCCAGCACATTTTTACGCAGCGGATGCCCTTCCAGCTACAACTCATCTCTGGGAAACATGCACACACACACTCACACACACACACTCATACACTACAGACAATTTAGCCTACCCAATTCACCTGTACCGCATGTCTTTGGACTGTGGGGGAAACCGAAGCACCCGGAGGAAACCCACGCGAATGCAGGGAGAACATGCAAACTCCACACAGAAACGCCAACTGAGCTGTGGATCGAACCAACGACCCAGCGACCTTCTTCCTGTGAGACGACAGCACTACATACTGCGCCACTGCTTCGCCGGTAACATAACTATATTAACATAAATGACCCAATACTGTAGGATGCAGGCATTAAGATTACAGCAATTACTGTAAAAATGGCAATATCTTTAAACACCATAAATATTTTATTCAACTTAGAAATTAATACGCATTAATTTTTATGCTAATGCAGGCATGTTTTTAATATTTAGAAATATTCACAGAATTGTTGTTATTATGAAGTACCTCACAGTAATTTACCGTGAATTTACATACAACAGTACATATACAGGTCAGAATTTAATATCAACAACATGTAAACATGGATCCATCCTGCCTTGTATCAACAGTTCAGGCTGGTGCTGGTGGTGTAATGCTGCGGGGAATGTTTTCTTGGCACACTTTGGGCTCATTAGTACCAATTGAGCATCATGTCAACACCACAGCCTACCTGAGCATTATTGCTGACCCTGTCCATCCCTTTGTGACCACAGTGTAGCCATCATCTGATGGCTACTTCCAGCAGGATAACACTCCATGTTATAAAGCGTGAATCATCTCAGTCTGGTTTCTTGAACATGACAATGAGTTCACTGTACTCAAATGGCCTCCACAGTCATCAGATCTCAATCTGCTGCAACTACGTGATGTTATTATGTCAATATGGAGCAAAATCTCTGAGGAATTTGCATAAAGTAGCCTACACACACACACACACACACACACACATTATGTCAAAACAAACTTATTTTGGATGCAATTAATCGCGATTATTTTTATATGTATATAATATAAATTATATATAAATATGTAAATATATTTCTTGTGTATTTTACGTAAAGTTATCTGTGAGCATTTTTACATAAATATACACAGTACACATAAATATATTATGTAAATGCAAACTTTTGTTATTTGTGAGTAAATATTGCAAAAAAATGGTAGAATTTTTATTAAAAGTAACCCTTATTTTTTAAATATTATTATTATAGAAAAGTAATATTAAATGTCGCCATGAAATAGCCAGAAAAGTTAACATGGCAAATGTTAAGGTAACATCAAAACTCTCTCTCTTTACACACATACATACGAACATATACACATAAATACACATACATACATGCATACACACACACACACACACACATATATATATATATATATATATATATATATGCTTATTTGTATATGACAGTAAATAATATTTGACTAGATATTTTTTAAGACACTTCTACACAGCTTAAAGTGACATTTAAAGGCTTAACTGGGTAAATTAGGTTATCTTAACAGGTTAGGGTAATTAGGCCATTTATTGTATTACGATGGTTTGTTCTGTAGACTATCGAAAAATATATAGCCTTAAAAATATATCGACCCTAAAAAATATTTGTTTATTTGGTGTTTAAAAAAATTAAACACCTTTTATTCTAGCCGAAATAAAACAACTATATAAATAATTATATATTTATATAATTAAGTCAATAATAATCATAATTCTGACTTCAACTGTATGTATGTATGTATATATATATATATATATATATATATATATATATATATATACAGTTGAAGTCAGAATTATTAGCACCCCTTTGTTTTTTTTTTTTTTTTTTTTTTTAAATATTTCCCAAATGATGTTTAACAGAGCAAGGAAATGTTCAAAGTATGTCTGATAATATTTTTTCTTCTAGAGAAAGTCTTATTTGTTTTATTTCAGCTAGAATAAGAGCAGTTTTTAAATTTTATAAATCCATTTTAAAGTCAAAACTATTAGCCCCTTTAAGATAATTGTTTCTCGATAGTCTACAGAACAAACCATCATTATACAACAACTTGCCTAATTACCCTAACCTGCCTAGTTAACCTAACTAACCTAGTTATAAGCCTTTAAATGTCACTTTAAGCTGTATAGAAATACAGAAATTGGGGAAAAAATAAACAGGGGTCTAATAATTAAGGGGGCTAACAATACTGATTTCAACCCAATGTCTCTGTTTATATATATGTGTGTGTGTGTGTGTGCCTATAACCCTTTGACATCACACATAAATGATTTACATCATAAAAATCACTGTACAACAAAACAACACACAGCAAGGATACTCAGCAGAGACAAATGATGCCCAACCTGACAGAATCCACTTAAACAGCGTTCATACTTAACACACAAGTGATGTATTAATAATTCAAGCCATGTAAATGCACTCCGACTAAAACAGACAGTCCTCTCTAAACTGAAAGCCAAATTACTAAAGGGAATCTGTCAAGAATTGTGCATAATGAAGTGCATCATTACTACCTTCCAGTCCAGTGGTGTGTGTATGTGTCTGTGTGAGTGTGTTCAGACGGCCGTGAGCATCCAAACTTAAGAACTGAACTCCGTGGGCTGAATATAAAGCAGACACCCTTGGAATTCAGTTCTCAAAGCCAAGAGCTCAGTGTAACATCCAGAAGCACCATAAAAACGGGTGATTTGTATTTGTCCTGAACAGAATATTGAATATAGCTCTCTGTTAACCAAAGCAGATTGCTTCTAGGAGATGAGTGTTTAGTTAAACAACTCACAAGTAACTAACATCACTTCTGGTGTAGTGCAAATACAAATGATTGGCTTCCTTGTTCCTCATCAAGACTCCAGCCTTCTTTGCTTCAGGGAGATTCAGCTCACTTCCTCATCAAATCCCATCCGGTCAAGTCAAAACCTGTAAAAGTTATCCGATCAATAAGTCATGACAACATGTTTTTACTTCATTGTAACTTATTACACAAAGTTGATTAGCTGTGATGTGCATTTTTTGCCGTCTCAATGGACTAATTACAACAGACTGGGCCATCAGATCAATCAGTGCAGATTAGCCTCACGCAAAGGAGGGGTTTGGGAACCATATGATTTGCTCAGTGATTCATTTGGAGTCCTTGGGATATTTAGGTACAAATAAATGCATATTATAAGACAACGATAGGGTTTTTGACACCCAAAACTAAAATATGACTTTTTTTAATGCCTAACACGAGCTCTTTAAGTCAGTTTAATATTAGTTTTAGGGTGCTTTCACACCTGTGAATCGATTCAGTTGTTCCGAAACAGAGATTACTATTGTTACATTGTTGCTCTTAGCTCTTGGAGCGGTTCGCTTTCACACTGCAAAGTTTCTAATCGGACCAAAAGAGCTAAAACAAGTCACATGTGAGTAAACTCTCCCTACATTGGTCAGAGTGTCAGGGTTTATTTTGCAGCGTCCCGCTAAGCTGTCAGGAGAGGTGGTGGTTTGGTGGTGATTGACAAGGTGCGCACGCGACATGTCTGAGGAGAGACGCGGTGGGGAGGGGAGAAAAGGGTGCGCGACGATGCCTATTTGAGGACCGGGAGGGAGACGTGAGATTACCGGGAGATCATCACTCGTTTGCGGGCATCCGGAGACTCGTGAAACTTCCCGCCCTACTCATAATTCTCTCTTCATATAGCCGTAAGCCTATTACATATCCATAAAACACTGATATAACCGCGCTCGGATCGGATCGCTTTCTCACTGCAATCGAACCGCTCCAGGGTTCGTTTCAATTGAGCCGAGACAACCTCAGGGTGCTTTCACACCTGTGAATCGATTCAGTTGTTCCGAAACAGAGATTACAATTGTTACATTGTTGCTCTTTGCTCTTGGAGCGGTTCGCTTTCACACTGCAAAGTTTCTAATCGGACCAAAAGAGCTAAAACAAGTCACATGTGAGTAAACTCTCCCCACATTGGTCAGAGTGTCAGGGTTTATTTTGCAGCGTCCCGCTAAGCTGTCAGGAGAGGTGGTGGTTTGGTGGTGATTGACAAGGTGCGCACGCGACATGTCTGAGGAGAGACGCGGTGGGGAGGGGAGAAAAGGGTGCGCCACGATGCCTATTTGAGGACCGGGAGGGAGACGTGAGATTACCGGGAGATCATCACTCGTTTGCGGGCATCCGGAGACTCGCGAAACTTCCCGCCCTACTCATAATTCTCTCTTCATATAGCCGTATACCTATTACATATCCATAAAACACTGATATAACAGCGCTCGGATCGGATCGCTTTCTCACTGCAATCGAACCGCTCCAGGGTTCGTTTTAATCGAGCCGAGACCACCTCACTCAAGCGATCTCGGAGCGATTACTTTGGCGCGGAACAGAGCGCGATTGCCCTGTTCACATATGCCAAACGAACCGCGCTAACTGGGCAAATGAGACACGTTCCGAAACAAAAGTGTAGGTGTGAAAGCACCCTTAATGACTCATTCATTTGATTCAGCTTAAAAAAATAAGGCAACCAGTATTTTTGACAGTGAGAGTGGATATTTTTTTCTTTATGAATATTTAAATGCTCTTCTCTAAGTATATAATAATAATAATAATAATAATAATAATATATAAATATTCTAATTGTGTGTGTGTGTGTTCTCCGGTTCATGCTGACTTTAAGTGATAAAGAGAATTTCTGAATGAAAGAATTTTTCCTTCACTCAAAAAATGGCTTGTTCAAAGTACTTATTTAAAATGAGTTGAAACAACACAATTCTTACGTTGTTTTTGGTACAACCTAATTGTTTTTTATTCAATCCACTTACATTTGTAAAAACCAAAGACTTAACTTAATGGATTTGTGTTGGAATTGTGTGGAACACATTTTTTATAGTGCTGTAAAAAATTATTTGACAAAAAGTCATGAAAACAGCTGTTTTTGTGTTACTCTAACTAATATCAATCAGTTAATCAAGTTTCAACTAATTATTCTTAAGTTATAAAAACTTTAAGTTAGTTGGACTGAGAAGTTGAGATGACTATAGCAGTTTTATTTTATTCAACAACAGCAACAACAACAACAACAGCAAATTGACAACAATAACTTTTTACAGTGGACTGCTAATTGTTTTTGCAGCTTGTTCAAAGTACTTATTTATTGAAAATGTAATAAAAAAGAAATAAAATCAGTTATATATTTGCTTAAATAACTAGCTTTTTAAGCTTTATTAAAAACAGAACATTTATATAACACAATTCACGGTCACTTTTAATTCAATAATGCATTCTTGCAAAATAATATGTTAAAAAGCTCAACCTTGTAATCACATGTTGAAAATGTAATTAAAATAGTGTTATAAAATCAATTCTCACTTCAATAAAATCAATTATCACTTTTATACAGCTTAAAGTGACATTTCAAGGCTTAACTAGGTTAATTATGTTAACTAGGCAGGTTAGGGGTAATTAGGCAAGTTATTGTATAACAGTGGTTTGTTCTGTAGACTATTGAAAAAAATTATAGCTTAAAGGGTCTAATAATTTTGACCTTAAAATGTTTTTTTTTAAATTAAAAACTGCTTTTATTCTAGCCGAATTAAAACAAATAAGGCTTTTTACAGAAGAAAAAAATATCATCAGACATACTTTCAAAATTTCTTTGCTCTGTTAAACATCACTTGGCAAATATTTAATAAGGAAGAAAAAAATTCAAAGGGGGGCTAATAATTCTGACTTTAACTCTACCAGTAAGTTTGGGGTCAGAAACTGCTTTATTATTTGTGTAGTTAGAAATGAAATCATTACTCCAGTCAATATTGCTTTTATTACAATTACCATTATTAATAATATCAACAAGAGGAAGAAGAAGAAGAAAATAATACTACTAATAATAACAATAATAATTAATATTAGTGATTTCTAAAGGATCATGTGACTTTGAAGACTGGAGTGATGAAGCTGGAAATTCAGTATAAATATCACTGGAATAAATTATTTTTAATTTATTATTTCGTAAACTATTTTTACTGTATTTTTGATCAAATAAATGCCACCTTGGTGAGGAGCAGCTGATTTTAAAACATTTAAAAATCCTGCTGACCCCAAACTTTTGACCGGTAGTGTGTATATATATATATAGATTTATATATATTTGTGTGTGTATTTACAGTCACTTTTAGTTCATGCATTGTAATCAAATGTAATTAAAAAAAAAAGGTCATAAATAAATTAGACATTTGCTTATAACTGGCCTTTTCCGTTTTATTATAAACAGAAAGTTAATAAAGCAGCATTCGTTTTTGAGGTTTTCATAAATGAATTTACTTTCACTTAATTAATTAATGCATCTATGCAATTTGTGTCAAAAACGTCCTACCTTGTAATCAAATGTAGAAAACCTCATTAAACAATAAACAGTTATAAAGTCAATTATCTTTCAGCTTTATTATAAACAGAACGTTTATAAAACACCATTTACTGCCCCTTTTAATTCATTAGTGCATTATTGCTAATTAATATATGTTAGAAAGCTTAATCTTTTAATCAAAAGTAGAAAAAAAGGTTCTAAAATCAATTAGACATTTGCTTATAACTGGCTTTTTCAGGATTATTATAAACAAAAAGTTAATAAAACAGCCTCTGTTTGAGGTTTTTTTTTTTCAGCATTTACTGTCAAGTTTAATTCATTAATGCATTCTAGCAAATTAATTTATGCCAAAAAGCTCAACCTTGTAATGTGGAGAACGTAAAAAAAAGTTATAAAATCAATTAGACATTTGCTTATAATAAAGCTCAAAAAAATGCAGTTACAAACAGAAAGTTAATAAAGCAGCCTTCCTTTCATTTTTTCATTAATTCATAGTAATTCATAATAAAATAAGTCATAGTAATTCATTAATGCATTCTTCTATATACATACTTCTATATTATATATGCAAAAAGCTCAACCTTGTGGAAAAAGTAAAAAAAAAAAGAGTTATAAAATCAATTAGACATTTGCTTACTTTTTTAGGTTTAATATAAACAGAAATGTTATAAAATACATTTTTTGAGGCTTTCATAGATATATTTACTGTCACTTTTAATTCAGTAATGCATTCTTGCATTAAGATATGATTACAAAGCTCAACATTGTAATAAAAGGTAGTTAAAATGTCATTAAAAAAGGGCTAAAAATCAATTAGACACTTGCTTAAACCGGGATTTTTATGAAACACCATTCACTGTCACTTTTAATTCATTAATGCTTTCTTGCTAATTAATTTATGCCAAAAAGCTCAACCTTGTAATCAAATATAGGAAATAGAATTAAAATAGCTATAAAATCAATTAGAGATTTGTTTATAACTGGTTTTTTTCAGCTTTATTATAAACAGAAAGTTAATAAAACAGCCTTAATTTTTTGAGGCGTTCATAAATGTATTTACTTTCACTTTTAATTCATTCATAATTCAATGCATCTATGTAATTTGTCAAAAAACTCAACCTTTAATTAAAATTACAAAATGTTATAAAACAATGAAAAAATTTATAAAATTGATTACAAATTTGCTTCCCTGCCCTTTTCAGCTTTTTTATAAACAGCAAGTTAATAAAGCAGCATTCGTTTCTTTAGGCTTTCATAAATATATCTACTTGCACTTTTAATTCATTAATGCATCCTTGCAAA